CCAAACCAGTGAGGGCCGAACTAGTACTCAGGTGGGTGACCACTGGGGAATCCTCGGTGTTGTATGTTTTTGTTTTTGTATATGCCAAAAAACATCACTCTCCTCTTGGATCCAACTTGTTGCCTGTGCTCGCCCTGAGGGCGAAAAGACCGGGATCCACTGTGCGCACAGAATCAGCTTTCAAAGTGATTAAGACCATAGATATCAGCATCCCCTGCTCCACCTCAAATACACCCTTTGCCCTTCGTGTATAAAGACTAAGAAGACCCAAGCGATGACGCATCAGTAGTAAAGCGACTACCATCTCAACTTCCACAGGTTGCAAAGGGCAGGGGGCGGCCAGGCGGCCAAGAGGTTGGCTTCGCTTTGCCCGTGTCGGTCGAAAGGTGGTAGTCGGGCTCATCGTCGTCAAGGGTACCACTGCCAATGCTGTGCCTCTTGGCCCGCTTATCGTTGGTACTGCCGAAGATATGGCCGGCTGTCCTCGACGTGCTTCCGGTCGGGTGATCGACTCGGCCAATCCGGAAGGGTGTCATCCAAGCATAGGACCATGCCCATTTCCCTGTCATGGCGGCAGACGGGGAGGGTGGGCTACATGGCTCTGCGGCAGCAACAGGAAGCAACACTTACAAACAGCAGGACCAGCTGAAGGAGGCGGACGCGGTGTACCAGCGGGTGCTGGAAAGCCGCGAGAAGGGGCTTGAGCCAGATCATTGCGTATGTGAACAAGCAAGAGAGACAATGAACTACCTGAGTATCTACTCAACTCCCCAGTACAGCGGTGGCTCCTCAGCCCTCAGTTTGTCGCTCACTATCTCCAATCTAGATATGAGTGGTTATCCCCGACTCGATGGGCTGATATTCCACCGCCTTATATGCGGTAGTGATCTCCCCGTAAACCTTGTCAAGTTCCTCTTTCATATTCCCGACTTTCGCAACAAGCTTCTTGTGGTCGACGCTCTCTTTGCCCTGCATGCCATTCTTCAACTCGCCGAGGACCTGGTCATTGAAGGTCTTCTCCAACTCCAAAAGCGATTTCTTTGCTGTGCCTGTCATTTCCTCAGTACTATGTTATTTTAAAGTTTCTTGCAGACTAGGAAGGGAGAATACATACGAAGCACTCCCCGAACCGGCTCTCGTTGAAGTATGACAGACTCATCCGCCCAATTTAGTGGGCACAGTATCAACATGTTTCCTTTCGCCAAGACTTCGCACAAGTCGGCCAACTCCACGTCAAGGATGCGGGCGTCATCGCGAAGCCTCAGTGCTCCAACGAAACTTATAGGTTTATGGAGCCGGGCCGTTTCGAAAAGGACGCAGCGCGCAAGAAGAGCTCCTCGACGCATGGTATTCAGGACTTCCGAGGTGGTTAACGAGATATACGTGCGCAGCGTCTGCTTCTCATACCTGTCCATCCTCTCCGATAACGAGCCCAAGGACTCGTATGTCGGTAGCATGACGGGGCCACTGAGGAACCCGCTGACAGGGACGATTACAGAGTCGTCTAGCTGCGGGCAATGAGCGGGCCCCGCCGCGGCCTGCTTTCGGTCCCGCCGCCAGCATTTAAAGATGTTGAAAGACATGCCCGGTGACGCAGACCAGATGCCGCAAGGAGAGGCGTTGCTATGTATCTTGCCGTCGTATGTATGGGACAAGTTCGAGAGGCGGTTAGAAGTAGAAGAAGTGTCGGTGAGGGGTCTTCATTTTCCGCTTCAGCCGCAGCACCGGGGTGCAATGCTTCAGCTCACAGCCACGCCCCAGCTCATTGGCGGGCTGACAGAGGTCACGAGACTACAGAAATGCAAGAAATATAACTGCTTTGCGCAGAAAGAGTAAGCGGACGCCCACCAAGCGGTCTTGTCATCATTCCCTACCAGGCTGCGGCGCTCAAAATGGAGCCGCCCACAACTGGGCCTCAAAATGACAGTGAAAGCGGCCCTGTCGAGTCCTATGGAGAGCAACTATACAAATACACATTCGATGAAGCCCGACAAGAACCCCGCTTTCTCATCTTCCGGGGCCTCCAACTGATGAACATCTTTAACATGCAAAACGACCTGGCAAAGCTCAAACACGATATCATGACAACAAGAACCGCGACACCCCAGCAAACCGAGTCCCTCACCAGGGTCCTTCACAACTACAGTAGGTGGGTCCTTGCCCAGCCAGCCATCCTCCCGAGATACCTGGGTTATCCACTAACCCTTCTAGCAAACGCAATCCGCGATTACGAATACCTGACCCGCCTCACCCCCATCACCGGCTCGCAAGCCCGCCGCGGCCGCCTCGACCTCGAACGCGTTTTCGGCGATGACGACTACCAGTTCATCGACGAGGCTGGCGGCTACCGCCGCTTCGCCGATCCCTCCCTGCTCCCCAGCGACAACCTCCGTGAGGCGTTGAAGCGCCACCTTCCGCGCTCCGTGACCTACACCAGGTACGACATCCAGAACCGCACCGACGAGTACTTTGGAGGCGAACCGCCCGAGCAGGTGTCCCCGCTCGTTGACAGGCTCGCGAGGTTTCTCGTGGCGTTTCTAGGCGGCGCGGCGTTGGTCGTGCCGATGATGGTGATGCGACTGCCCGAGGTGACGGTTGTCAAGAGCCTGGTGACGGTGAGTATCTCGGTTTTGGCGTTTGCCGGAGCCTTATCTGTGCTCTTCAAAGCGAGTAATACGGAAACAATGGTTGCCACGGCGACATATGCGGCGGTGTTGGTCGTGTTTGTGGGCGTCTCGGGTTAAGGGTTATTTATCGCAGAATTATCAGCAGACCTCCGCAGGTCCCGGTGATCAGAAGCGTCCCTGCTGCGGGACAGCCCTTGTCAGTAACAGGTATAAAAACAGCAATATCCCTCCAACCCTGCACCGCCAGACACATCTCAGCCGGGGTGTGGGAAGCCCGGGTTGCGTTCAATTTATCCAGCGCGTGGTCGCCTTGCCTGGCTGCCCCTCCTGCTCGTTCATTACCGGAGCATAGGTATGCTCCCAATATCACACACTGTGGTTATTCGCCGGTTACTGGCCGTTTTGGCATCAAGGCCGTGGACTTGTTGTTGCTTACAGTTGCCTAATATGCCATCCATCAACGGACCGTCCACCAAAGCTAGTTGCCAGACTATTTTCAGGGCCCAGATGCGGGGGGCTGGTGAAGGGGGGAGGCCAAACCACACGGAGCTGGTGGCACGGCAGAGGACACCTTGCCGCAGCATGGCACTCAATCGAGCGAGCACACATGTTTCACCGTCAAGACAAAAGCCGCAGCATGAAGTGAACCGGGCTCCTTACATCAGTGAGCCTTTGTGCGACAAGTCATAAGGAAGTGAGGACAGTTGAGTACATGTGTGGAAGCGGAAGCGTCTTGGGTCACAAGCGAGCCCAGACATGCAAGCTTCCGCCTCTTTAAGCTACCGCCCCGTGGAAGTGATGAAAGAGCTGCGCGGCCGCAACACGTGGGAGTGGGAGGGGGAGCCCGTGGCGTAGTCTTTTACGGGCGAGCCCGGCCGCCGCGCGTGGTCAAGCCATGGCGGAACAACAAAAGGGGCTGGGAGGGGTGAAAGACCCCCACAAGGCCCGGCCCCGTTTCACAAGGTTCCCATTCACGGCCGCGAGGCGCCCAAGTCAGCTCAGGATGCGGCCTCTGCCCGAAGACAGCGGTGCATGTACGACGGGCTGGAGCAGGGGTGGTGAGCGAGAGGCGCTCTGTTCCGACCTTCTCGCCACACACATGAGGACTGAATCATGTATCACAGGCTGTCTTCACTCGTGATCGCAGAATGTGGCTGCCCAGGTTGGTTGGCATATCGCGCAGTAGCACTGGATATACACCTCTCAGTCACCGACTCCGCTTGGAGACTGGAATCCGCCCAGAGATTGGGCGGAGCACGGAACATGATATTAAATACCTAGCCGTAGTGTTGATTGCCAGGTAACACCAATCTGACAGGTACTCCTGCGGGCTAAACTTTGCCTGTGTCGTGGCTGGCATTTTTGGTATTATAAAATGGGCAACCTGGCCTGCAGGGCTGCATGCTGCCACTCGTGATGAAACAGCAACACATCCCAGCCCAGCTCCCGTCGTAGCGGAAGACAGCAGAAACCATGCGCAGCAAGATCGCCATCCTCGTCTCGATGCTGGCAGCCTCGGCAGCCAGCCAGAGCACCACTTCAACCCTCCAACAGACACCCACATCTGCAAACATGACCACAACGACGATAAACGTGTGGCTCTACAACCTCTCGCCAGCCAACGTCACCTTCCCCGTCTCGGCCTCGGTCGTAGATGGCGGCAGCAGCAGCGGGGCCAAGAACTGGACCACCTACAGCCTGAGCTGCAACACGGCCGAGCCGCTCTGCAGGGACCTGCTCAACGGGCTGACGTATGTGACGGGCACTAGCAGCGCCAGGTGGACGTCGAGCGGGGGTGACACGGCCCTGTTCGCCGCGCACACGGCGATGCTGACGACCACGCACACAATATCGTCATCGGCCACAGCCGCCCCGGCGGGTGTCGAAACAGTGATGATGGGCACCACCCGCAACGGCTCGTGCGGGGTCATGACCGGCTGCGTAAACGAAGACGCCATGATCCGGGTCGAGAAGGGCGTCACGGAGAGGTCGACCAAGTCCACCAGCACGAGCGTGACCGCCATCTCCAGCATTCCCCTGACCGTCACCGCTTCGATCTTGACAACCGCATCGACAAAGGCCAACGCCACCACCAGCTCGGATGCTAGCAGGGCGCCTCCCACAAGCACCTCATCATCGACAGGGGGTGGTATCCCAGGGGCAACTGGGGGTGTGTACGTCGCCAGGGTCGCAGCAGTGGCTGCCATGGGTGGAATGTGGGCTCTGTAGGATCTGGGCCAGAGACAACGGAGTCACGATGCGGGATGGTTGCCGGCGGGGGTGACTTTGAGACTGGCTGTCGGCCGAGCACACGAGAAAATGGCCAGTTTTGGCAAGCACTCCTGGTCACAAAGCAGAGCATGCGCGAGAGGAGGTGACACATAGCCACCATTCTCCCTGGGCGGCAAGCTAAACACAGAGCATTCGCGGCTAGGAGAAGCTGTATTAGCCTTCAAGATATAACATATCCTTCTCGAGAATTCGGAGTACCTACCACATCTATCATGGGCACTTTGCTGCCTTTGGCAGATCTGCATCATTGCGTATGGCATGGCGCCGCTGCCTAGGGAATCTCATGTACAGAATTTTGCGACTCTTCATTTTTACAATAATGTCAGTTTCTTGCACCTTGGCTCTACACCTTCCAATCTCCACACTTCGCCGCCCAATCCACTTACAGTTGCTTTGTTTCCAGCTCCCAGCGATCTTCTGGCGCGCCGATATCTAAGGGGAGGTGTAATATCGGTGGCTTGGACACATTTCCGCCCAGCTCCTCGGAGTCGTGCCAGATCTTGCGCGCGGGCTCAGGGGGCATTTCTTTCCTGCCGTCACCTCCACTGTCGATGCCAAGAGCACCCTTGTCATGTCCGTCTGCTCGAGCGAAATCGAAATTCTCAAAATGGAAGACGGGTTTCGGAAACGTGGGCGAGGTCATTGACGATGTCACACCGTCGCCTCCTTGGTCCTTTTCGCTTTTCCCGCGGCAGGCGTCGGGCTCCACAACTGCCGCCGTCATGGGGGTTTGCTGCGGCTGTTGGACCGCGTACGACCCCACGACACACTGCGCGTAGTAGTAGCCGTCCCCATCGCCCCAGGGGTCCGGGCGCGCTCGCCGGTCCTCGACGCAGACACTGAGCCAGGACCACGGGAAGGTCTCGAGCGCCGAAGGGCCGATGGCGGAGCGGCGGCGGCGCACGGCCCGGCGCAGAGCCGCGCATGCGAGCAGCAGGACCAGCACTGTGATCGGGGCGGCCAGGGCGATCAACGGGGAACCCGAGGGCGGCGGCGCCATTTGGCGATGACGGGCGAGTGGTGTGCTTGTGGCGGCGCCGACCGAATAGATGGTTACGTCATGGCGGCATAGGCAGGAGGCGTATGCGTTGAATATTTTAGGGACGTAGTTGGTTGGTTCAGCCAGCCCAGGAGTCGTGGTGATGATGAAAGATGGATAGGAAGGCTCTGGGCTGTATTTAATGTAGGTTTCGGCCTAGGGATTGCACGGTTTGCCCTTGGCGCTTCCTTTGCGGTCTACACCTGTCAATGGTGAAGAAGCTGGAGGAGCAAGATGGGCCAGAGAGTGGCAGGTGGCGTTTGTGGTGGACAAAGGGAGGCGGAACCTCCCAGCTAGCTCGTGAACAACAGATCGTGTCATACGAGGGCCTTTCTATCGAGGTACTGTGGCTCCCTAATTCGTTAGTACGCAGCTTGCATCGACAGACCAAGCAGAGCCCTCGAGTCAAGATGGTCAGGACGGAAGGGGCCACCCATGAGACCTTAAGGAGGGCAGGTGGCGATGCTTATAGGGAGAGTTATGGAAGGAAGGGATGGATGGACCTGCCGTCTGCCTCGATGGCATCGCGTATGAGATAATTGAAACTAAACGTGTTTACCCTTACGTTAGGCTCCTGCCCTGACTCCATCCACCAAAACTTTTGTTTACATCGGGAAATTGACAAACAAGGAATATCTGCCGGCCTAAATAACGCCATGGCCTGCTGCGAGACAGGCGCCCACGCATGTTGGAAACGCGGTGGCATGTGTTGTGGGCTTTGGGTAAGTGCCGTTAGTGTGAGGCTGCAGCTCTATCAGCTAGACTAACAGCCGCTACCGCCGGCCCCAAGGCGCCTCGGATATCTGAGACAGAACCCGCTCTGTCACTCACGGAGAAGCAAGAGGAGCAGGCGGCCGTGGAATGATGTGATTCGACCCATATCTCCGCGGCGTATCAGGTGCCACAAAAGCACTAGAGAAACGCACAGATTTCTGTAAGCAACTCTACTTCTCTTCGTCTCATCTGTCGCTGTCGCGGGCGGCTGAGTGAGCTAAAGTCGGGGGGACATCATCTGATATCTCGCCCGAACCTGAGTAGTGCCAAAGGAAATCTAAACGGCACGAACCACAGGCCAATGCTCAGCCTATATAGCATGGCATCACGCGCGGCAAAAGGAGTCGCGATACACATGCACTATCCGGTCGGTTTGGCTTGTTTGGCCATTGTTGTCCATAACATATATCAACATCATTACCTTGTCAACAAAGCTGTCCGCTACTTTGGTTAGATCATCTAAGGGCCATCCGGGATGGGCTATACATTAGGGCTCTTTCTCATATCGGCGTCCAACCACCTTGCAAGAACCCGCCATGTCGCTGTATTTCCTTTCCTTTTGCGTCCCAGGGTCGGCAATGCCAGGACTATCGGTGCCGTTTGTCGACATCGTGGAAGGCTGCCTGGACGACTACCCACCTCCCATCGAGCGAGCTCCAATGTCTTCAAATCCTTTGGTCTACCACACTGGCAGGCTTTATGTTGCCGTATGGCGCGTGCTGGTCGTATTGCTCGTATCCCTCTGGTATGCGCTGCATGTACGATACAGGCCTAGCAGGGGCGGGTGCGTAGTTGTTGTTCGCCGGCTCGTCGTCGTAAACCTCGGTGGGGGCTTCGGTGGGGGCGGCGGGCGGCGGGCGGCTGTCGACGCCGCTGCGCCAGCGGTTGATGTTGCTCCTGAAGCTGCCTCCTGACCGGAACCAAGGCCTGCGGACGCTGTTGCCCCTGGCGCACTCGCACTGCCCCTGCCACTGTCCGTCCCCTGGCTTTTCGTTGCTGTGCGAATCTCGAGAAGATGATGCCTGAAGGGACCTGAAAAGGTCTGGCCGCCAGAGCAGGAGGCAGACAAAGGCCATGAGAAACAGGGAAAAGACGGTCATGACGACGAAGGCCCACAGCGGCACCTCGGACGAGTCCGATGAGTGGGCATCACGGGGCTCGATGACCTGCCGTGCGAGGGACATGTCCCCTGATGGCGAGATAAACATGGATATTGCTTGCTGACCGCGCCTTGTTGGTGGTATGTGAGGGCTGCGCTTAGAGACAAGTGGGTTTGATGTCAAATGTCGCTGAAACAAATCCCAATAGGGAATACTGTTGTTTGTTCAATGCCGCCACAACGAGACGGGTGAGAAGTGACTTTTGTCGAAGCTGATTTAAAGCAGAAGACGACAGCCCAGTGTTTCAGCCGTCGATGAGAATGGAAAGCGCACGCAGTGAACGTACGGTTGGCGGAAAACCCAACCAACTACCCAGTCTTTCCAAGACGTAATGGGTAAAATATTGAACGAACGGAAATGCTCTAGGCAAAGCGGTCAAGAGAAATAGGACGGATACCCGAGAATGAAGGACAGTTTGACGGCATGGCGGAAGAAAGAAAAGGAATAAGAAAAGGGGACTGGGCCTCGAAGGGCCTATCTACCTGCACGCTGTCTAATGGGCCGCGACGTCGCATCCAGGGGGCGCGAAAATAGGTCAAAGGGATTGGCCGCCCGCATCTGCCCTGACAGGGTCGATGGAGGGGGAATCTCACCCGCCCAGCGCCGTGCCGCCATCCGGAAAAAAAAGGACTGGAGGGAGGGGGGCTGGATGGGGAGAGATGGGTGGGGAGGAGGGCTGATGCCGCGCTTGGGTTCCATCACGACCTGCGCTAGGGCGGCACAGCACTGCAAGGCACCGCGCCAAATATGACTTTATGTTTCAGCCGGCTGCGGGAGCGCGGCGGGGAGGACGTGATTGGACAAAAGGGCTTGCTGTTTGCTTTTTTAGTGATGGTCTTTACTTTTTGGATATGTCAAGGGGGAGGACCAAACTCTGCCAGAATCACATGCAGTGAGCCGAATCAAGCCATCGGATCCCGGCTTATTTTTCCTCGGACTCGAGGTCTGTAGCCAGGCAAGTTTTAGCCGCGCCATGCTCTTGTTACTACCTGTCACCTTGCTGGCCTGGCTCGAAAAGCAATTGCTCGTCGCGACGCACAGCTGTGATGGTGAAATTCACGTTTGGACCAACGGACAACTTCCCCTGCTCAATGAAAAAAAGACTGTCTCCACCCCTGGCTGGCCTTGCAAGGTGGTGATAACGTCGGGTACATATTTCACAGTGTGCCACACATCCAGACGCATGTACCCCGGAATTAAGCATCCCGATTGGTCGGGACTGGTCGGTAATCAACTCGAAGCGTTGAATAGCGCCTGGGAATATTAGACACTCATAAGACATACATGAAGGCCTCAACGATGGACGGTCCTTGTGCTTTTGGTGCTTTGGACGCCTTGTTTTTCCTCTTCAATTGGGAAGGCGCATCCAGATAGACATTCGCCCTTTGAGGACAGAGCTCTCCGTGGACTGGCTGGGGCTGGAGCTTATTTTCAACTATGACAGGAAGGCGCCAGTGGGAGCCAATGGCCTGACGTGCCCAGTTCTGCACGCACGGACCCTTAAAAGTTATCTCCCCACACATGCCGTGAGCAAACAAGCCTAACAAGACGGAAAGAGAAGGAGCTCTGGACCGTTCAAAATTTCCAAATGTACCACGTTTAAAATTTGCACACAAAACCCACACTGAAGCCGGTCAGCCCCAACCTTTGCCCAAGCCCGACCGACAACCTACGCCGGGCGATTCAATTGAGCCGGGCCATTCGCTAACTGTCTGCGGGCCTGCTGCGGACCTGCGCGTCTCCACAGGAGACGATTCTGCAATCTCGCACCGACAAGCTCGCACCGAATGGCTGCGCCAGGCATCAGCAGCCGAGGCAGATCCGCTCCCTGAACAAATGGCTGGAGGAACCCCCCACCTGAGTGGCGAAGACAGGCAACGGATTCGCACGCTCTACTTTGACGGCAGCCTCTCCAAACAGGACAGTACGTTCCCCACTGCAGCAACGGTGCCTCTGTGTGCTTCAGCTGCTGATCCAATCCACCTCCCTCCCCTCAACTAGTCGCCCTCCGCACCGGCTTCACCCGCTTCCAGATCCGCAATGCCATAAAGGCCGCAGAATCAGAGCCCAAACCTCGCCCCGGACGCCCTCCGCTCCTGACCAAGGAACACGAGGAGGAGCTGCTCCGCTACGTAACCTCTGACGCCGGTCGCGGCCAGAGTTACATAAACATTGCCAGATCCATCTTTAATGGAAGATTCGGCGAGGTCGCCATCCGCAACGCTTTGCGCCGCAGAGGCATCATTCGCGGCACGAGAAAGTTCCTCGCAAACCCCCCGCCACCATCGAAGCTGAACGCCGCCGGCACTATCAGGGTTTGGCAGGCTTCCATCGACGAACCCCCACCGCCACCACGACCGGCACAGCTGGCACCAAGACCACAGGCACTACCGCCAGCGCAGCCGATCGTTCAGAGGCTAGGATACGTCCCAGGAGGTGTCACATTGTCGCCGCCTTTGCCGCCGGCGATGCTGCCACCGATGCCAGCCTCGATCCGGGTAGCCATCCGCATCGGCGCGGACCAGCCGCCCGTGACAGTGCGGGCGGCCCCGTTGACGGCGGTCGGGTATGCCCAATTCGGCGACGTGATTGAGAACCCGCGACCGGAAATGCATCCGGCTGCTTTCGCCACCGCCGTGTCCCAGCAACAGCACTTGGGCATCATCCCCCACGCGCCTGTCGTGGCGAACCAGGGATCTGCAATCAAGTACCAGCACCCGACCCACCCCCTCAACTTCTACCCGCACGCCCCGAGCCAGGTACAGGGCCACGCGGTCATCAATATGTTTTCATGCGCAGCCAGGAAGCTGGAGACGGAAGCAGGTACGAGGGAGGTTAGGAGTGCCAGGCAGTCGTCCGAGGTGGAGACCAAGGACTCGATTGTGGTTGAACTGAGCGACAATGACGAGGAAAATGCGAGCGACGCCGAGGTGGATGAAGAAAGAGAAAGCACAGTCGACAGGGAAAGCACCGAGGTGAGAGACGTAGTAGAGGCTGCTTCTGGTGACCGTGTCGCGACCAATCCCCGGCGTGGGCCGTGCGGCGTATTCCCCGTCCTCGTCCTAGAGCGGCACCCCTTCACGACGCAGACCTTTGTGCCCATGTCGCGCGACGGTGCCGACACGCGCTACTTGGTCATCGTGGCTCCGAGCCTAGAGCCCAGCAGCCAAGACGCCGGCCTCCCGGTGCCGATCCCGCCGCCCAACGCCACGGGCGGCCCCCAGCTCCCCGGCCGAGGCCTCCCGAATCTCTCGCAGATGCGGGCGTTCGTCGCGACGGGCAGCCAGGCGGTGACGTACGGCGCGGGTACATGGCACGCGCCCATGGTGGCGCTGGGCGCCGAGGGGAGCGTGGTTGACTTCTTCGTCGTGCAGTACGCAAACGGCATCCCGATTGAGGACTGCCAGGAGGCCTTGCTGCTCACCCCCCAGAACCCGGCTCCTGGCCCGTCCGCGGATGGTGAGGGCGCCAGAGGGCCGAGCCAGCAGATTGGGGTTTTTGTGCAGGTCCCACTAGAGTACCTTGCTGCCCAAAGGAGCGACACTAGGGGTGCCTCAAAATTGTAGCAACGTGCTCTTGTTTTTGCTTGGAGGTACGCGATATCGATAGCCGATCGAGTCGTTTGCTGCATCCGATCAGGGGCCTCTACGTTCCCTTCATCCGGCTGATGGGGCGGTCCGAAGTCACAAACATTATCCCGTATTCAACCCCCACTCCACTTTCAGTCCCAGGTC